TCGCGCCAGTTAGACAAACACACAAACAAATAAACAAAGCGGGGTCTGGGGCCTGAGGCCTCTCTCCAAATTCCATCTTCTCTGCAGCTCTGGCCCTGCCTGGGTGGCTAGGGAGAGGGTGGGGGTAGGGGTGGGGGGGGTGGGCAACAAAAGGCTCTGGCCTTTCCGCTCTGCCCCTCAAGGTTATGGGTGATGTCCAAATTTAAGGCAGAAGTTCAAAGGCAGGAAACAAAGAGGATACCGGCATCTTTCTTTCCCCAAAGGGAAAAGGCAGCCTCAGCTGGGAGCTTGGGACAAAGTGCCCATAGAGGCTCCTGAGAGACTAATCTTTATACCCAGACCGGTCTCTGTCTTCCTAAGGAGATCCCCAGGGCACCCCAGAGTGGTTCTACTTCAGGCCTCCTGGTCCTGAGATGAGCGAGCCCACCCTGGATCAAACTCATCAGCCACTTCAAACCCCAGGGCTTTCTCTCCAACCTGAAAGGATGAAACCCCCAATTCCAGGTCATGAGATACTCCATTCCCGGGACCCCGCCCCCCCTTCCCAAAAGGACCTGGCCAGATCACCTCCCCACCCCTTCAGGGGCTTGGTAACTCGCCCCTTTTGGGAGGGGGATATGGGGGGGGGGAAACATTTGGCAGTAAAAAGCAAACAGGAAGAGAATGTCACACCAGGACCCAATACTCAAGTTTCCACAGTCTTTATTTCCCTTGTGCCCGGTCGCCTGTATACATGCTGTGACATACTTGGTGGGTGAGAACGGAGGACAGCCCAACACTTCCATTACACACAGAGCCACCAGACACTTCTTAACACAGGGAGGCAGAGGAGATTCAATGGGAGGGTGCCTGGCTTTCTCGGATGAGGTCCCCAGGCCCTGGAGGGCCAGACTATGTCAGAGCTTACCCCTATGCTTTCCAAACATTCCAAGAAATTAAAAAGATCATTCCCAATACTCTTCCCACCCCCCCAACCCCCCCCCAAGGAAATCAACTAATGGCAAGATTTAAAACATAATCAAACAAAATAGGTTATGGTTCTTTTATTTACAAGTCTTTTGAACACCATCCCTGTATGAAGCGTACATTCAAATATTTTTAGCAGTGAGTGAGTTTAACCGTGGAACACTGTAAACAGATAGAGCCTTTAAATATTCTCTTCATCATTTCCCCCCCCCCCACCACGTTGCATCTTTTAAAATTCGCTTTGGTTCCTGCAGGGAAATATATATATATAATATAATATTTATTTTTTAAAATAATTCCAAATGCTCTTGAGCTCTTGGAAGGTCGCCGGAAGCTTCCAAGCTCAGTTCTGGGGCGGTGAAGGGCTGAGTGCGGTGCCAGAGCTGGGTATTTTGGGGACGCAAGCCCCTCATAGCAGGGGACCGCTGGCCAGGCCCACTGTGTCGCTGAGCAAATCCAAGCCTCAGCTGAGTGTGGTGGAAACTTTGCCAGGCTGCACTCCACAGGCATTTCCTGCTGAGATCTTGGGGCCAGCGGCCTGGACACAGCCTCTTAGCTTTTTGATGTCTTCCACCTCGGGAAAGGTCTGCTCTGTGACCAGGCTTTAGGCTTGAGTGGCAGGCCAGGAAGAAGACCCTCATCGGTAGGAAAAGCTAGGTGGGCTGCAGGAGACAACTGGTAGAAGCACAGGCCCCAGACAGTGCAGTGAGTGCCTACGAGGGGTGGAGAGCCGCTAATGCCACCTGGAATAGACGCTTCTCCCTCCAGGATCAGCAGCCCTCTCCCACCTCACAGTCCCCTTTTCGTCCAGCCGCCGTCTTTCACATTGGCTTTGGAAAGCAGCCCCACTCCGGACATCTAGGAATCTTCCCCCCTTCCTCCTGTTCCTGTCCCCAAGCTGAACTGGGTTTAAAGACAGAATAGCTTCTTGACGCAGGGGTCCCGGGGGTGGGCAGGCTCCATGTGGAGGGTCTTGGGCCCAGGTCGCTCTCCAGGGCGCTTGGCAGGGGGCCCAGTCCTGACGGAGACCACACCCAGCCCAAAGCTCCACAGTCTCCAAGAATGAACCACCAGGGGTCCCAAACCATTTATTCTAGCTGCTGCACAGCTCTCCAAATCCAATTTTTGCTAGGAATCTTAACCCCAGATGCCCCCCGAGAATCCCGGGCCGCCTCCTCAGAGGCTGTCTCCGTGTAGCCTCCTCTCTTTCGTACATCTCTCTTCTTCAACAGTCACCACGTGCCTTGACCTTGTCAAGGGCAAAATCTGCATCTAATCTCACGTGTATGAAGCCCCCCACCCAATTCCAACAGGCTGGAGCCTTAGAGGAGCGGGTTGGCCGAGTAGTACTGTAAACGGTCTCTGTTAATTTTTTTTTCCTTCATTCTTCTGTTCTGAAACCAGATTTTGACTTGACGGTCAGTGAGGTTGAGCATGCGGGAGAGCTGCAGGCGCTTCTCTTTGTTGATGTACACACTGAAGAAGAACTCCCGCTCCAGCTCCCGGATCTGGTACTTGGTATAGGGGCAGCGCTTTTTTCGGGCGCGCTGGCCACCTGTGGAGGGAGAGAGAAGCAGGGAGTGAGCCAGGTGTGGGGGCCGCAATCCATCCCCGGAGCCCCGAGTGGAGGAAGAGCGCTGGCCCAAGGGACTGGAGGCCCTGCGCAAGCCCGGGCAGGGTCTCCTCAAGCCCCTGCCTTCAGTCCCCTATTGCCAGCTGGGGACAGGCTGCAGGCGGAGACTCAGCCCCAGATAAAAGCCGGCTTCCTAGATGGGCCCCCAGGGAAGCTGCTCCCGCTGCCCGCAGAGCTGAAAGGAGGGCTCCTTGCAGCAACAGGCTAGCTTGGGCCGCACAAGCGGCTTTCAAAGCCGCCGTGTGGGGGTTGCCGGCTGCCTCCAGCCCCGCCAGACTAAACAAACAGCCGCCCGCGGACATTTCACCTTCCAGCACCTGGGCTGCTGGTTCCCGAGGCAGTAAAGTCGGCCCCAGCCCTTGTCTTTCCCGGCTGCGGCCGCCACTCGGCCCTCGTTAGCCTCTGAGGCAGCCGCGGGAGCTTTGTCAGTCTGTGTCCTGGCCACCAGCTTCTGCCTCCTGGACCAGCCTCCTGGCTTCCACGAGGTGAGGCGGTGGCAGAGGAAGCCCCCTACCCTGGGCCTTCCCTGAGCACCAAGGCCACAGAGCCACCCAGGCCCCCAGTAGGGCAAGGGTGCTGTTTTCAATAGGGTGGAGGGGAGAGGGGTTTCCCAAAGCTGCGGGCAGGCTTGACTTGCTCCCCTTTTCAATAAAACTTCACAAGACGGAAAGAAAAAAACCCCGCTTTTGACAGATTGAATAACAATTGTGAATAACATGCAGTTGGACAGAAGGCGGCACGTAATTGCCACCGCGCTGGAGGAAAATGGCTTCCTTTTGGATAAAAAGGCCAACTTTGCCTTAATTTGTTCCTTTTAATGTATTGCTCCAGCTAAGGCGGGCTATTTTATCTGTTCAACACGCTCCTAGCGCCGTCGTTAAACAGGGATGCCTTTGAATCCCGGCTGGGACTGGAGTCCCGGAGCAACACATGGCTTTTATAAAAATCTCCGGATTACCTCGCTATCAAAGGCTCCCGGAGCCTTTGCAGGGGGAATTTACAGGCGCCCACCTCCGGCTCCCCAGCCCGATCTGCCCTGAGCGGGGTCGAGCTGCCCGGACTTGGGACTGAGAAGGGAAAAAAGGGAAAAGGGGAGTTGTGCGTGTGTGTGTGTGTGCGCGCGCGCGCGCGTGTGTGTGTTGTGTTTTTTTTCTTTTTTTTCTTCTTCTTCGTCTTCTTTTTTTTTTTTTTTTTTTTTGCAGGCATGCCTTGGCCGGTGGGTATTTCACGGCCAATTTCAGCACTCGCCACGTGATCCCGCCTTTTATAACAAAGTTTTGTTGGGGGAAACCTAAAGGCCCTTCATAAACCTTATATGCTTATAAAACAGCATATAAAAATTTAACAGCGGTGCTGCGCTAGATTTCCAACTCCCCTTTCATAAAGCGCAGGGCGCTTGCCTTTATACGTACTGGAGCCGCTGGCCTTGTCCTCAGTGTGGCCGGAAGACGACTCGGGGCTGCTGCTGCTGTCAGGGCGCCGTCGCCGCTCCTTCTCCTCCGCCGCCGCCGCCGCCGCCTCCCGGCAGCCGCCGCCGCCGCCGTCCGAACTTGAAGTTGCCGGCGTGCCCGTGCCCGTGGCCGCTGCTGCCGCCGCCGCCGCCGCCGCCGCCGCCGCCGCCGCGGAAGTCGCTGCGGCCGCCGGGGGCCCCTTCTCCGCGCTCTTGTCCCCGGGGTAGTCGGAGGAGGCGAGGTTTTCCGGGGTGCCGTAGGCCGTCTCGAAAAACTGGTCGAAAGCCTGTGGCAGAACGCCGTTCCTGCCCACGGTGCTATAGAAATTGGAAGAGACGGCGGGGGTGGGGTGGTGGTAGACGTTGGCCGAGCTCTTGGCCAGCACGTCGCCAGGCACGCCGGCCGCGCTGGGCGCCTGCAGGCAGTCTCTGTGCACGAGCTCGTCCGCGGAGTAGCAGTGAGCCAGATTGCCGCGGGGGTGCCATTTAGTGGCGGGCTCAATGGCGTACTCTCTGAAGGTCACTTCGCGTACGGGTTGGACCTGGGGCAGGTTGGAAGAGTAGGAGTATGTCATTGGGCGCGAAGACGGGGTCTGGGGCAGAAAAGAAGGGAGGCTGGAGAAATCTGGACCCGAGACGTAGTAAGTACAACTTGGCAAATACATGTTAGAGGAGCAGGGACCACGCTCATCAAAATCCATCATTGGGCTACCTTGGGCTCTCCGCAGTAGCCGAGCTTAACATGATTCTCCACTGCAGCTGCCTCTTTGAAGCGGATCCGTGAAGTAGAAATTTGGAGACGTAAGCTGACGTGGAAATCTATCCCCATCCTTAGCAGGGAGGTGCTGGTCATGTGACCCGATGTTGAAATTGACAAGCTGCGAGCTGGTCCGGGCCTTTTTTTTTTTCCCCCCTTTCCTTCTCCCCCCCCCTTTCCCTCCCTCCCCGGCTTCCTTTCTTTGTAGCCACCTCAGGGGAAGCAACAGATCGTCACTCGGTGTTCTCACCGAAAGCACGTAATCGCCGGTGTAACTCATGTTGGCTGGGGGGCCTCCCGGCGCGCGGCGAGGCTGGGGTGCGCCCCACGCCACTCGCTTGTGCTCAGCTGCACGGTCCTGGCCCTCAAGTGCGCCGAGGGCGGTGAGAGAGCTCAAATCCTGCCACCCGTCACTCCCCGGGTGAGGGATGCCCAGGCTGGGGGTGGCCGGGTGGGAGCTCGTCGCTGCGTGGCCCGTGCGCGGTCCTGGAATCTATTCTCCCGGAGGCTCGCGTTCGCACCTCCTTCTTCGCTCTCCCCCTCCCACAGGCTTGCTCTGGAAACCACCTCCGCCTCCGTCTCTGGCCGGACCCCCTTCGGGGCCAGGGTTCGCAGCCGTGGATGTGCCTGCCTCGTGGCTTGCCCGATTTGCACGGTGACTTGATTACACGCTCGCATTCATGGTCACTTCCGAAGCGCTTTAGTGCCTTCCGTCCCTAAACCGCCAACAACCAGGGCGGCTTCCCCCGCGGTTTGTCAGGCATCTGCAGGTCCCGGAAGGGCCTTCGTCTTACCCGGGATCCACCTCCACTTCATTCTCCCCGCCGGCCTCCTCACTCCACCCCCTGCCCTTGAAGAACCCCCCCCCCCGTCCTCGTTGCCTGCCGGGGTTCGGAGTCGCCCCGCAGAGCCGGGGCTGTGGGGGCTGCGCCACGGTGCACGGGTCCGCCCGCCTGCCTGGTCTTCTGGAGCTGAGGACTCGGGAAGCCATGCAGTTGAGGCGAGCCTCGGGCTGCTTTAGGGGCGCTGACAACCGAGGAGCGTTTTCCTAGGTATGCTGCACCTTCCGCGGGCTCACCAGGCTGCCAGCGGAGCCTCAGAGCTGAGTGGGGGCAGTGAGGAGGAGGCTAGGGACAGGGAGCCTTGGCTGAGAAAGGGCTAACATGCTTCCCCTCCTTCCTTGCAAAGCGCGAGAGCCAGTGATGTGCAAGGAGAAACTCAGAGGCTCGGCGCCTTTTCTGCTACTCATCCCACGGAAGAAACACAATGCCAAAGGAAAGAGCAATGTTTCCCACACTCGCGGAACCGTGGGTGACAAGATCGCCTCGAAAAGGCTAGACTTGAACCAAAGGTAGAGACGGGAGCCATAGCTGCTAGTAGGAGTCTTAGCTTTCTTGGGAAAAGGAAAGAGAAAAAAATTAAGACGGTGAAAAATGCGTGCCACCCTGCAGGATTGAATGATCAACGTTTGGGAGAAGTGAAGAAGGGGGCATAGAGCTGCCAGGCAGGACCGGCAGCTGGGAGGGGCTCAGCCCTGGGGCCTCCCCACACCTATCTTCTTGGAAGGAGCTGGATGTCGCTGAAGGAAAGTCGAAAAATGAAAAAGGATAACCTTTTCCCTTTCCCCATCCAGGAAATAGCCGAAGGTATTTATATATCTTGGGGAGATTTAGAGTATAAACTCTAAGATCTTTGGTATTTAAGTGTCAACATCGATTTATTTATTTATTGCTGAGCTGACTGTAAGTGACTCAATAACAAATCTAATCATGTATTTCACTGGAAAAGAACTATTCTCATTATGTATTTTCTCCAAATGATGGCCCACCATTGCATTTGAATACCCGCTGTAAATATCAGTAATATCGAGTAATTACTCTGCAGTGGAGTAAACTAATTTATTAGCATTAAGTTTATGTGGCTCCTACCCCCTTTCTTTACAAGGGCTGCTTATCACAAATCAAACTGGTTGGACACATTGGTTTAATGAACTCTATATTCAGGATTTGCTGCAAGAACTTTCATACCCCTTGAATCCCTGCGAGTTGAACTTGAAATTATTTGTGCATCTTCAGCTTGACATATTTGTCCACTGTGGCTTGTCCACCGTACAGAGGGCAGCAGTGGTGTGAGTGAGGTCTGGTGGGAAGGAGGGTTGCTGGGGAAGGGCAGCCTGAGACCTCCTAAAGCTGGGAATCACAGTTACGGGATTGCCCTGCAGCGGAAAAACCTTTGATTTCCAGCAGTGACCAACAAGGCAAAATATTTATTTCTCCGCAGCATCTCTTTCTTGGAGACAGAATATAAAAGGGAGCAGGAGAGGTTTGCGAATGGTGGTATTTGAGCCATTCCCGGACTTGATTTTGGCTCTCCCAAACTATCTCCTAGTAGCCCACCCAGTCCCCGCCACCCCGACCCTCGAACAAAAGGAATGCTTGAGGGGTTTCAGTGACTTTGCCATAACAAAGGCGCCACCATTTCAGGGCTTGCCCCGCCCCTGGGTGAAGGCAAACAAATTCTTGCACTTGTATTAGGGCTTTTAAGACTATAATTGAACCCGGGGGCGTCTAGGAGAACCGAAAACAGTTCTAGACAGACCTGGGGTTTTATAGCAGTTTTGGCAGTCAACTTCAGCTTGTGCCTTTGCAGACCGGCTGAGGTGGCCCGCTAGCTGGGGACGCCAGGCTGCCTCCCCCAGCTGCACGCAGCCCTTCTCTTAATTAGGTCGGTTTTCCCCTTAGTGCCACGGAGAGAGGGTACCCGCAGAAAGGTCAGTATGGGGATATAGGCTGTTCTGCATAATCAATGACTCCCGTGTCCTTGAGAGCCAAGCCGAGAGGGTGCCAGCAGGTCTGGATCCCATGGGTTATCTGTAGGAGACAAAGGCAAATTTCCGAGGAAAGGCTGGGGTGGGGGAAGGCTCTCCCAAAGCAGCTGGCAGGGTGGTTCAAGAAGGCTATACCAACGCAGGGTGCCGGGAGGGACACACAGCCCAGAAGAGGGCATGTGGGGGTGCTACAGTAAAGATGGACGAAGGGAAAGGCTTTTGATGCCAGGAGAAAAGAAAATGCCTGGAGTGGCGAATGTTTTTACTTCCGCAGCAGAGACAGGAGGGGGTGCTCAGATCCCCAAGGCTGCGGACTTTTCCCAGCTTTGCCTGCTCCTGCCCCTCTTGCCCAGAATATACTGGCAGTGTGAATGTCTGCGGGGGTGGGAGGGGGGCGTTGGGGGTGGGCACAGACTGGAGCATCAGACCAAATCTGGGCAAGCAGAGGGGCAGAGTTGCAGGTACTTGGTTTTGACTTTGTTCTGAGCCTAACTGACTCTTCCGCTTTGCAGGAGGCCCTAGAGCCGAACTGAGTCCACCCGGCTCAGGGGAAGACCTGACGGGTGCTAAGGCCACCCTGGAATGCCAAGTCCGAGTTGTATTTCTTAAAGAGATCCAGTGGATGCGGCTGTGACATTGGCCCTGGCGACCGGTTTCCCACGAGCTGTTCTTAGGAGCTCCACAAAGCGGAGCCATCTCCCGAAAGCAGTCTTCAGCATGTATTTCCTTTTATCCTCAACCCGGAGCCCCACGGCAGCTAATGCAAAAGGCCAAAAATGTTTTGGAGGAAGAAAAACAAAGGCAGGAAGTGGCGGCGGCCTGACGGTGCGCGTCTGTCTGCGGAGAAGGGAGGGAGCCGTTTCAATCTCTTCTTGTTGTTTTTCCAAACTTCAAGGTCTAGGCAGCCCTCGCAGGGCCGGGCCCTTTCGTCCCCCAGGCAGCGTTTGGAGATGGCCACCAGGAGAGGAGAAAGCTGGCGCCCACGCCAGCCTTGTCAGGCGGAAACGGCTAACGAGGCGATTTGCTCAGCAAAGCAGACCAAGCCTTTGCAAGGCTCCGTTTGATTTGGCCCTAAATTGGGGGTGGGAGGGGTTGGGGGGTTCGGTAGCACCTCTCGGATCCTCCTGCTGGGGCTGAATGCGCCTTGGTGGAGATGATTCCTGCATCCTATACTCCACCCACCTTCCCAGGCAAGATACTGGAATAAATTGTGTCCAGGTGTCTCTGCCCAGCACTGCTGCCTCCACTTCTTTTTGCAGCCGAAGGGTGCCTGCTGGTGGTGCCCAGGCCGGGTAGCTTTGGTGTGGTCGGTTCGCACCAGGGCAACGCGAGGCTCTTCCACGGGGAGGGGGACGGGGAGGGGTTGTCACGCTGCGGATGTTTCTAGCACAGTCATTTGAGGGACGTGAGCTGAAAGGACTGTCACTTGATAGGCAACTTAACACCTGCTCACTCAAAGGGAGAATAGAGCAGCGGGCAGGGAGCAACACTCGACTCTGGGATTCCCAACCCCAAGTGCCGCTGCTGCTAGGCTGCCCTCTTTCCCCCTTAGTGCTAGCTTGGGCACTGGGAGCAGCTCACTGACCCCCAAATCTCAGAATCTGAAGTCCCCAGTGCCTGCCCTTGCAGCCTCTTGATGCCAGTCAAGCTCCTTGACTTATCGGCATGTAGCCAAAAGAGTGAATGCCAATACCAGGCTGCCCGCTCACCATACTCCCTAGCTGGTCCTATCTCCCTGCAGCTCCTGTTCGCCTGGCTCCCCATCCTGTTTCCAGCGGACTCTCCCCTTCTGCAGCCTCTGGCCTTTTCTGTGCCCCTCCTAGGCTGAGCAAGAACTGAGGTGCCACGGGAGGGCACCCAGTACTCAAGCGCAGAAAAGGGGACTGTTAGGTTCCCGACTGCTCCCCCCCGCCTAAATTTAGGCCTCCACCAGGGATCTGAACTAGATCTCTTACCTCATCCTTCTGAACACTCCATTCCAAGGCTCTACCGTGTTCTTTTTCTCTCCTTCTCTCATCAATATTTCCTTCTCTTCTCAGGACCTAGCTCCAGGATGGCAGGCAGCTAGCTTGGTAGGGGGCAGGCCCACTTGACACACCAAAACTCGCTCACAAATGTCTACAGTCATTTACCTATGGATCGCTTAGGGCACCAACATTTTTTTTTTTTTTTGCCTTTTCTTGTTGTACTGAGCCCCTAGCTACCTCTGCCCCTAAAATCTCACACTTATTTCTAGAAAAGCTACACAGAAGACTATGTCAACCCCAGTGACCATACTGCATACAGGTGCAAAACCCAACTGGTGGCCCAGCAGAGAAACAGCCACTGAGCCCTTTCTGGGATTGGAGGCCAGGCTTCTATGTGAGGGCTGTCTCCTTCTAAGTGGGAGTTGTCTCCTGCATTGTCCTCCATGGTGATTCTGGATAATGGGTTGTCTGGGAAAGCCCAAGAGATCGCCCAGGATTTGTTCTCAGGGAAGTCTATTGGCAGATTATGGCCAATCTATCACATTTTGAGGCGGTGTCCAGAGGTGCCACTGAGGCTGCAGTGAAATATTTGGAGACCCTCTCTGTCACTACTGGGTGGAGGCAGGGATTATTTTATCTCCTTGGCTTGGCAAGGCCCGGGCCTGTCCACAAGCTCTTCTACCCTTCCCTATAGCACAAGAACAGGTAATGCCTTGAACTTGACCTTATGGTTGGTTCTCATCTGACTCCCAGGTTCAATCTTCCAAGGTCCCTAAACATCTGAAGAACTCCACATCCTTCTTCTGGCCACTAAAGAATGGGGCACAGGGCTCAGCTGAGGGTCCCAGACATTCAGGCAATCTGGTTATATTTAGTTTAGTGGGTCCTAAACTGATGGGAGAGAGTTACTTCCTTTGAGAAGAACTATATTTATTTTTATTGTTGTGGATTCATTATTTAAAAAAAAAAATCACCCCCCCATCTTATCAAGTGAGAACAAATGGGGGGGGGGGACTTTCAAGGACAAAGCCCTGGTTCTCAGCATCTGCTTTCCATTCCCCCAGAGACTTCGGCCCAAACGGGTTTCTCCAGCAGGGGATATCTGCAATTAAGAGGGCAAAAGAGGGCGGCCCAACCAGAAGGCTGGCCGTGGCCCTCAGGGTCTTGATCTCCACCGCTGTGGCTCCTAGGAAGCCTCCGTGCCCAGCTCCAGCTGCCTCCTGGGGCAACTCCCCAGGTTCCTTCGTGTCCATCCCGGCAGCAATCCATGGCTCATGTTCCAGACTTAAAAACAGCAAGCCCATGCCCAGTCCAACGCTGCCCTAGGAGTCTCCCTCAAGTGCCCTTCCAGGCTGTTCTGCGACCATACCTATCCATGGACAATTCCTCCAGCTAGTGTCCCTTCAAAGGCCCTACTCTGCCCAGGACAGCTCTAGAGGTAAAGCCCAGCTTTTTTGTCCTCTGTGAAAAAAAGCGATGAAACCCTTTACAGGGCCTCTTTGACTCACCTGGAGCCTAAACTCAGGGCTGACTCTGTGTAAGCTATTTGCTTACCAATGGGCCTGATGGATGAACTGGGGTGGGGGGGGCCAGCAAGCTATGGGCAGAGGCTCCACCCGCCCCCAGAGCACAGTGAGTGGGGTTGGGGGCCCCAGGAGTCAGGGATTTTTACCTTTGGCAGGGTGCACCTCACTTCTTGGCACAGATTTTAGGCAGAAGAAGAGCATCAAAGTGCACAAAGCATCAGCATGCACTTGAAGGAGCAGAACTGGACTCAAAGACCTTAAGAGAGGCTCCCAGCAGGGTCCTTGCTCCCCTATCCTATTCCTGGCTCTGCTGGCCCACAGGCCCTGCGGGTCTCTTGTTTCGGCCGGAGCCCAAACTCTAATCCAACCACGTTCGCTCTCCAGAGCTTGCAGGCGCTGCCTCTCGCCGGGGCTAGGCCTCCGCGAGCTCCGAAGTGTCCCAGACTCGCTCTTCCAGGACTCGACGGGGACAAAGCCTGGGCCACCCCTGGCTGCGGGAATTCCTTTTCAGTAGGGAAGCCAGGAAAGAACCCCCGCCTCCAGTCCGCGGGTCCAGGCCATCATAACCTGCTTGCAGCCGGCCAAGTGTGGGTCCCGGGCCTTCCTGTGTCCGCCACGGCCCTGACCGTGGAGGCGGCCGTGCAGAGGACTTGACCTTTGCGGCGCGGCAAGGGGAGGGCGCTCTCCGAGCTGCCGAGAGGGGGATTCTGCTTTCTCCAGCTTCTCCCACCCAATAGCAGCCCGGACAACCCACGCAGGCTGAGCCGTTCACCTCCACCCCCCCACCCCCCACCCCCCTCCATTTTGTGCAGTGTCTGCAGACCCGCAGCCGAAACAAAGCCCCCAGCAGTGCTCTCACCACCTCCTTTGCGAGCTCTTGTCCCCAACTCCCCTTGGCTGAAAGGCTCAGGGCTAAAGCCAAGCGGTCCAAGGCCCTGCCCAGCGTCCTCTTCTCTCGCTTGACCCCAGCCGCCCGCAGCCAATGCCAGGGTACCACTGTGGGTGCCAACCGGGCCCGTGCCGGTGCCAGCTTCCCGCGAGAGGGGCCCTGGCCTCGGGTTGCGGGCGGCGCCGGCCTACGGCCGAGCAGAACCACAGAGGCGCTGGACGCAGCGAGGCCGGAGGCCGCTTCCCGACCCAGGCCCGGGCGCAGACCCGGGGCTGCCCGGAACGCCCGGGTTCGGGTCCACAGCGCGGTCCTGCGTGCCCAGCTCCTCCTCTGCTCCCTCGGATGTCACCCCACCCCTCGGCCGGGGGCTCAGAAAGCGGAAGTATTTGGTAGAGAAAAAACACGGTTTCTGTTCAGCCCGTCTCAGAACCCCTTTTAGAGAAAATGCTCCTGTCAAGTTTTATTTCCCGTGCAAACCACCTTCCACGCTGCCAAGAATTAAGACCGGGAGAGATTAAATACCCGATTATTCTCTTGGGGAGGGCGGGGCGGGGCGGAGAAGCGAGCACCCGCACAAAACATTCGTTTCAATCGGCTTGTTCTCATCAGATCACGCCTGGAGAGGCCCGCGAAGGCCCGGCTCTCTCCGGCGACCGTGACGTCAGCCTGCGGCTGCGGGGCGACCCCCCGGCGCGGGTGCGCGGCCGGCCTGCGGAGTCCGCGGGGCGCGGGCCCCGGGCTCCAGCGCCTCGGCCTCGGCCGCACGTTCTGCTGCGTGCCTCCTTCGACACACGAGCCTTCCAAGCAAGGCCGGCTCTGGAAGGCGCTGAGCCTCCATTTTGAGCAGAGGGTTCATTTAGAGGTAGGGAGAGTTTTGAGCCTCGCCTCTGCCCCGGGGCACGACATCAGGCGGCGCTCGGAGCCCTCGGCGAGCGCTTCCCGGGCTGGGGCGCACGGCCGCACCTGGGCCGAGCCCCGCGCCGCCGCGCTGCCGCCCGCCAGGGTTTCAACGTCTCTAGGAGGCCGAGCTAATGCTTTCTGCGGAGGCTTCCAGCTCTTCAGCGGCGCGACGGCGCCGGGCAGAAATGAAATCAACTGTGACCAGGCCGTAGCTGCTTTCATGGGGAGATTTTTCTGTGCCGGCGTTCTTTTCTTTTTCTTTCTTCCCTTTGAAATCAAATTAAAAATAGCAGACACCTCTCAGGCATTCGGCGGCGCTAGGCAGAGGTTCGAGGATGGAAGCAGCCGATCAGAAAGTGGGTGCTTTCATAGAGAACGAGGCCGGCTGTTATTTATCCGGCGGCCTAGCAGATGCAAACTTAATTATCCTGTGCGGTTCCTAAAACCTAGGCATAAATCTCCGCGGGCCGCTTGGATAACGCCACATCGTTGTTTATGAAAAATGGGATGTGAGCTGCTCGCTGCCACATTTCTCTGATTCGCCAGGTCTTCGGCTGCTGACACGCATTCGATCAACTTTAAAGGAATGCGCATAAATCAGGAAGCCCCTAGCGTCTCTTCCGTAGAGGTCCGCAAATCCGGAAGGGCGCCTCCGAACCCACTAGGTCGGGGGGCTTAGCAGTCCCGGACAGCCTCCGTCTCCGCTTCGAAAACTCCAGAATTCGTAGAGAGGAAGCGAGAAGACGCATCTTCACCAAACTCTCCAAACACACGCAGCAGGGTGTAATCTGCACATACATTACATGGTGAAATATGTGTCATCACTACCCGCGCGAATTTGTATCATCCCCAGCTGAATTTCACTGACTTGGGAATTTTTAAGAAAGCACTTCAACTAGGTTGAGTTTTTTAAAAAAG